CTTCCAGTCCGGACACTTCCCCCCCTTCCAGTCCGGACACTTTCCCCCCTTCCAGTCCGGACACTTTCACCCCCTTCCAGTCCGGACACTTTCCCTCCTTCCAGTCCGGACACTTTCCCCCCCTTCCAGTCCGGACACTTTCCCCCCCTTCCAATCAGGACACTTTCACCCCCTTCCAGTCCAGACACTTTCCCCCCCTTCCAGTCCGGACACTTTCCCCCCTTCCAATCAGGACACTTTCACCCCCTTCCAGTCCGGACACTTTCCCCCCTTCCAATCAGGACACTTTCACCCCCTTCCAGTCCGGACACTTTCCCTCCTTCCAGTCCGGACACTTTCCCCCCCTTCCAGTCCGGACACTTTCCCCCCCTTCCAATCAGGACACTTTCACCACCTTCCAGTCCGGACACTTTCACCCCCTTCCAGTCCGGACACTTTTACCCCCTTCCTGCCCAGGCTATATTTTCAGCTTTCGGCGTTATCACACTTTGAATGACAATTGCGCGGTCATGCAACACTGTACCCATATGAATTTTTTAAGAGACAGATAAAACTTTATTTTGGTGGTAATTATTCACCTCTGGGATTTTTTTTTTTTTGCTATATAAATGAAAAAGTCCAGACATTTTGAAAAAAAAAAGTGTTTTTCTTATAAAATTTTGCAAATAAATAATCTTTCTTCATAAACCTTGGCCAAAATGTATTCATCTAGCTTTTTAGTAAAAAAAAAAAATAACCAAAATTAGTTTATAACCAAAAATTATCATTTTTTTTTTACATTTTTATTTTATTTTTTTTATATTATTATTTGTTTTTTTGTTTTTTTAAACATACTGTCACCCTAGCAGTGCAGTGTCACCATAGCGACACTGTACTACTTGTGGGGGGTGATGAAGAATATTTTTTTTTTTACACTGATTGCTTTTACACCCATAAAGGCTGTAAAAGCAATAATTTCTCCTTCTCTCTGGCTGCATTCTTGCAGCCATTGAGAAATAGTGTGAGAGCTGTTGTGAATAGCCCTGTACCATGTGATCTGGTTATTTTCTCTCCAGGTTAAATGTTGTTATTCATACAAAATAGAGTAAATCAGCTAAATACTGCATTTTGGCCATTAGATGGAGCTGATGATGCTTAAAGCAGGGTTCAAGTTGAATAAAAAAAAAGAAAAGCCAGCAGCTACAAAAACTGTCACTTACCTGTCCCTTGGTTCAGCGCTCTCCTCACCACCAGACAATAATCATTCCGGCTGGGTTCACACTGATGTTGCAGATTTTGCAGCGTTTTCAGAGGATTATTACACGCTGTCACCACAGACAGGAATATTCAGAGGATTATTACACACTGTCACCACAGACAGGGATATTCAGAGGATTATAACACGCTGTCACCACAGACAGGGATATTCAGAGGATTATTACACGCTGTCACCACAGACAGGGATATTCAGAGGATTATTACACGCTGTCACCACAGACAGGGACATTCAGAGGATTATTACACGCTGTCACCACAGACAGGGATATTCAGAGGATTATTACACGCTGTCACCACAGACAGGGATATTCAGAGGATTATTACACGCTGTCACCACAGACAGGGATATTCAGAGGATTATTACACGCTGTCACCACAGACAGGGATATTCAGAGGATTATTACACTCTGTCACCACAGACAGGGATATTCAGAGGATTATTACACGCTGTCACCACAGACAGGGATATTCAGAGGATTATTACACGCTGTCACCACAGACAGGGATATTCAGAGGATTATTACACACTGTCACCACAGACAGGGATATTCAGAGGATTATTACACGCTGTCACCACAGACAGGGATATTCAGAGGATTATTACACTCTGTCACCGCAGACAGGGATATTCAGAGAATTATTACACTCTGTCACCACAGACAGGGATATTCAGATAATTATTACACACTGTCACCACAGACAGGGATATTCAGAGGAATATTACACGCTGTCACCACAGACAGGGATATTCAGAGGATTATTACACACTGTCACCACAGACAGGGATATTCAGAGGATTATTACACGCTGTCACCACAGACAGGGATATTCAGAGAGAATTATTACACTCTGTCACCACAGACAGGGATATTCAGAGGATTATTACACTCTGTCACCGCAGACAGGGATATTCAGAGGATTATTACACTCTGTCACCACAGACAGGGATATTCAGAGGATTATTACACGCTGTCACCACAGACAGGGATATTCAGAGGATTATTACACGCTGTCACCACAGACAGGGATATTCAGAGGATTATTACACGCTGTCACCACAGACAGGGATATTCAGAGGATTATTACACGCTGTCACCGCAGACAGGGATATTCAGAGGATTATTACACGCTGTCACCGCAGACAGGGATATTCAGAGGATTATTACACGCTGTCACCGCAGACAGGGATATTCAGAGGATTATTACACGCTGTCACCGCAGACAGGGATATTCAGAGGATTATTACACGCTGTCACCGCAGACAGGGATATTCAGAGGATTATTACACGCTGTCACCGCAGACAGGGATATTTAGAGGATTATTACACGCTGTCACCACAGACAGGGATATTCAGAGGATTATTACACTCTGTCACCGCAGACAAGGATATTCAGAGGATTATTACACGCTGTCACCACAGACAGGGATATTCAGAGGATTATTACACTCTGTCACCGCAGACAGGGATATTCAGATAATTATTACACACTGTCACCACAGACAGGGATATTCAGAGGATTATTACACGCTGTCACCACAGACAGGGATATTCAGAGGATTATTACACGCTGTCACCGCAGACAGGGATATTCAGAGGATTATTACACTCTGTCACCGCAGACAGGGATATTCAGATAATTATTACACACTGTCACCACAGACAGGGATATTCAGAGGATTATTACACGCTGTCACCACAGACAGGGATATTCAGAGTATTATTACACACTGTCACCACAGACAGGGATATTCAGAGGATTATTACAAGCTGTCACCACAGACAGGGATATTCAGAGGATTATTACACTCTGTCACCACAGACAGGGATATTCAGAGGATTATTACACGCTGTCACCACAGACAGGGATATTCAGAGGATTATTACACGCTGTCACCACAGACAGGGATATTCAGAGGATTATTACACGCTGTCACCACAGACAGGGATATTCAGAGGATTATTACACGCTGTCACCACAGACAGGGATATTCAGAGGATTATTACACGCTGTCACCACAGACAGGGATATTCAGAGGATTATTACATACAGGAGCACTCTTCAAGAGACAGTATCAACACTTTTCAAAATAGGATTTATTACTAAAAAAAGGTCAAAATGGTGCAATTAAAATATTACCAGAAAAGATGTTACAAAGATATAAAGAGAACAATAAAACAGAGAAATAAAATAAAGGAGTTAAGAAGGCGGAATATTTGCAATGCCCTTGGTTTAAGCAGAGTCCAATTGTCTGAACAAAAAGGTTGCCTTGGCTCTCAAGTCTGTTCAATGTTTCCTGATTGATGTTAAATGAGAGCTGTCTTTTCTCCAACCTGTCAGTCTTTTTCTATCATATTAAAGAGGTGTCGCCTGAGAACAAATGACCAATCATCCAGTTTGGGGATGGGGATGGGGTCTAGGAGGTAACCAAGGTTATGACCAAGTCGCCTTACAATTTCATACTAAGGTTAATAACCTCCAATAGATGCAGGTAGCATCCTAGTAACTGACAGATTCATATTCAGAATTATATTTCAAACCCAGGGATACCGAACACAGCACATCCTTGTCACCCAGGAGGGAAGAGACTGCTTTCTTCTCTCTTCTAGATGCTAATAGAGTCATGTAAGGCCTTGTTTGACTCACATTAAAATGATCTATCCAAATATATCACAAAAGCAAAGAGTGCAGCGCTATATAAAATTAAACCTTAATTGCAGAAAATTAAGAATGAGAATAAAATTAAATATAAATATAGAAATAAGTCTACTGTAGTATCGAAATCAGGATTCCTCAGTCCACAGTGAAAATTCTAGTGTTGTAGATGCAATCCGGTCTCCCGTTGTAGTTATATGAATAGATTGTCTACTCACCAGAAACCCAGTATAAAAACGCATATCTGGATCACATGCATCCTAGGATCTTGGATAAAGACAGCCCGGAAACGGAATCCTCTGATGGTCCCTCATTAGTGTAAGGAAAGGATACCGATCTGGTCTCAAAGCGCTTACTTCTTCAGGTCCGCAGCAATGCCTAAAACACTAGAATTTTCACTGTGGACTGAGGAATCCTGATTTCGATACTACAGTGGACTTATTTCTATATATTTATATTTAATTTTATTCTCATTCTTAATTTTCTGCAATTAAGGTTTAATTTTATATAGCGCTGCACTCTTTGCTTTTGTGATATTATTAGAAAGGTTTCTGTGGTTCCTTTTAGTGCATTGGTCGCTTTTGGGATTGCGCTCACTAATTTACATTATCCAAATATATATTTAATATTAATGTGTCCAGTTCCTGCTGAACTTTTATGAATTGTATGAAAAATGTGAACATGTGGAATGTACGTTTTGTAACACGCTCTAGCCCTAATGGCCTAACAGCTCTCCCCAGACCCCGCATTCACTATATCCACTCTCCTAGGACCCTGCATTCACTAAATCTGGTCTCCCCGGACCCTGCATTCACTAAATCTGGTCTCCCCGGACCCTGCACTCACTATATCCGCTCTCCCTGGACCCTGCATTCACTCTATACCTGCTCTCCCCCAGACCCTGCATTCACTATATCCTGTCTCCTTGGACCCTGCATGCACTATATCTGCTCTCCTCAGACCCTGCATTCACTATATCCGCTCTCCCAGGACCCTGCATTCACTATATCAACTCTCCCAGGATCCTGCATTCACTATATCCGCTCTCCCCGTACCCTGCATTCACTATATCTGCTCTCCCCGGACCCTGCATTCACTATATCCGCTCTCCCCGGACCCTGCATTCACAATATCTGGTCTCCCCGGACCCTGCATTCACTATATCCGCTCTCCCCGGACCCTGCATTCACAATATCTGGTCTCCCCGGACCCCGCATTCACTATATCCGCTATCCCCGGACCCTGCATTCACTATATCCGCTCTCCCCGGACCCCGCATTCACTATATCCGCTCTCCCCGGACCCCACATTCACTATATCCACTATCCCCAGACCCTGCATTCACTATATCCGCTCTCCCAGGATCCTGCATTCACTATATCCGCTCTCCCCGGACCCCGCATTCACTGTATTTGCTGTCCCCGAACCCTGCATTCACTATATCCACTATCCCCGGACCCTGCATTCACTATATCCGCTCTCCCAGGACCCTGCATTCACTATATCTGGTCTCCCCGGACCCTGCATTCACTATAATGGTCTCCCCTGACCCTGCATTCACTATATCCGGTCTCCCCGGACCCCGCATTCACTATATCTGGTCTCCTCGGACCCTGCATTCACTATATCCACTCTCCCCGGACCCTGCATTCACTATATCTGCTCTCCCTGGACCCTGCATTCACTATATCCGCTCTCCCCGGACCCCGCATTCACTATATCCGCTCTCCCCAGACCCCGCATTCACTATATCTGCTCTCCCCCGAACCCTGCATTCACTATATCCGGTCTCCCCGGACCCAGCATTCACTATATCTGCTCTCCCTGGACCCTGCATTCACTATATCCACTCTCCCCGGACCCTGCATTCACTATATCCGCTCTCCCCGGACCCTGCATTCACTATATCCACTCTCCCAGGACCCTGCATTCACTATATTCACTCTCCCTGGACCCTGCATTCACTATATCTGCTCTCCCCGAACCCTGCATTCACTATATCCGGTCTCCCCGGACCCAGCATTCACTATATCCGCTCTCTCCGGACCCCGCATTCACTATATCCACTCTCCCCGGACCCTGCATTCACTATATCCGGTCTCCCCGGACCCTGCATTCACTATATCCGCTCTCCCCGGACTCTGCATTCACTATATCTGGTCTCCCCGGACCCTGCATTCACTATATCTGGTCTCCCCAGACCCTGCATTTACTATATCCGCTCTCCCCAGACCCTTCATTCACTAACATTGATCAGACGGGAGATAAAGAGATACAAAGTAACATTGTTTATAAACATCGATCAGACGGGAGATAAAGAGATACAAAGTAACATTGTTTATAAACATCGATCAGACGGGGGATGGAGAGATACAAACTAACATTGTTTATAAACATCGATCAGACGGGAGATAGAGAGATACAAAGTAACATTGTTTATAAACATCGATCATACAGCAGCAGGATGACCTTCAATCCACATATGGATTGCATATAAAGCCTGACAAAGAAAAGTGTTGTATTTATTTGTACTGTTATCACAATTTTTCTATTATCAAAACTTTATTTGTTTGTTTGTTTTTAGTGTTCCATTAAAAAACCCACAAAATTCAAACAATAAAAATCCCTTTATTTATTTCCTTTGTGAATTATTTTTTGATGCTTCCTTTCCAAACCATTTTTAAACCCGATTAAACCCGATTAATTCTTAAATAAAACGTACATTTTTTATCCGCGGCGACGGCCATTTTCTGCCGAATATCTTCATATATCTATATAACTGCTGCGAGCAGATGAGAAAAATCCACGACTTAATTCCGTTTCAGCGGTTAAAAAACGGTTGAGTTTCACTCCATGCGATCCAACAACGCGCCTCCTAATCTTCGCCGGGCGCGTTTCCCCCGCTCCGGAGGACGAGGTATCGGTGGTCTTTTGGGGTGATGGAGCCTCGGATGCTGAAATATATATCTAAATATCACAGCGGCAGGAGATTATTAAAGCCAGGTGGCTCTTCTGCACCTCTGGAAGGAAACACGTAGCCATCTTGGATTTATGTAGCCGAGTCCCGGGAGAGCAGGAGGGTTTAAGTAAAGAACTTTCAGCTTAAGACCCGAGTAAATTGTTTGAGGTTTGATGGAGTAGAAACATATGTGGAGGGGCGAGGAGCTCTGGACATAAATATTTTGGCATTTTTAACTTTTTTTTTTATTTTGTTAGAACATCTGCACCCAGAAACTCTTGAAAAGTTTCCCGCACGTCACTGGTGGGTCATCCAGAACCTATTATGAAGGGGAAATGATTGTATGGCTTCACTCAATACACACTTTAAAAGCACATCTGAACCCATAAACAAAAATGTGACATATTGCCGCTCTGCAGTCCCGAGATGTGGAGGGATTGGCAGGGAGGGATGGAGGACACTGGTTTGGAGGCCAGTGGAGGGATTGGCAGAGAGGGAAGGAGGACACTGAGTGGAGGCCAGTGGAGGGATTGGCAAAGAGAGGTGAAGGACACTGGTTGGAGGCCAGTGGATGGATTGGCAGAGAGGGGTGGAGGACACGAAGTGGAAGACAGTAGAGGGATTGTCAGAGAGGGGTGGAGGACACTGGTTGGAGGCCAGTGAAGAGATTGGTAGAGAGGGGTGGAGGACACTGGTTGGAGGCCAGTGGAGGGATTGGCAGATAGGGGTGGAGGACACTGAGTGGAGGCCAGTGGAGGGATTAGCAGGGAGGGGTGGAGGACACTGAGTAGAGGCCAGTGGAGGGATTAGCAGGGAGGGGTGGAGGACACTGAGTGGAGGCCAGTGGAGGGATTGGCTGAGAGGGGTGGATGACACTGAGTGGAGGCCAGTGGAGGGATTGGCAGAGAGGGGTGGAGGACACTGAGTGGAGGCCAGTGGAGGGATTGGCAGAGAGGGGTGGAGGACACTGATTGGAGGCCAGTGGAGGGATTGGCAGAGAGGGATGGAGTACACTGAGTGGAGGCCAGTGGAGGGATTGGCAGAGAGGGGTGGAGGACACTGAATGGAGGCCAGTGGAGGGATTGGCAGAGAGGGATGGAGGACACTGAGTGGAGGCCAGTGGAGGGACTGGCAGAGAGGGGTGGAGGACACGAAGTGGAAGACAGTAGAGGGATTGTCAGAGAGGGGTGGAGGACACTGGTTGGAGGCCAGTGAAGAGATTGGTAGAGAGGAGTGGAGGACACTGGTTGGAGGCCAGTGGAGGGATTGGCAGATAGCGGTGGAGGACACTGAGTGGAGGCCAGTGGAGGGATTAGCAGGGAGGGGTGGAGGACACTGAGTAGAGGCCAGTGGAGGGATTAGCAGGGAGGGGTGGAGGACACTGAGTGGAGGCCAGTGGAGGGATTGGCTGAGAGGGGTGAAGGACACTAAATGAAGGCCAGTGGAGGGATTGTCAGGGAGGGATGGAGGACACTGAGTGGGGGCCAGTGGAGGGACTGGCAGAGAGGGGTGGATGACACTGAGTGGAGGCCAGTGGAGGGATTTGCAGAGAGGGGTGGAGGACACTGAGTGGAGGCCAGTGGAGGGATTGGCAGAGAGGGGTGGAGGACACTGATTGGAGGCCAGTGGAGGGATTGGCAGAGAGGGATGGAGTACACTGAGTGGAGGCCAGTGGAGGGATTGGCAGAGAGGGGTGGAGGACACTGAATGGAGGCCAGTGGAGGGATTGGCAGAGAGGGATGGAGGACACTGAGTGGAGGCCAGTGGAGGGACTGGCAGAGAGGGGTGAAGGACACTGAATGGAGGCCAGTGGAGGGATTGGCAGAGAGGGATGGAAGACACTGATTGGAGGCCAGTGGAGGGATTGGCAGAGAGAGGTGGCAGATATATCCCGAATGTGACATATTGCCACTCTGCAGTTCCGAGATGTGGTGGCTGCATTCATTTTCCTATTTTTCTGGCTTTTTTTCCCCTTTCCATTCCATTTGGTAATCTTGGCAGTATGATCTTGGGTTGCCAGGTATGGGGTTGGGTTGCCAGGTATGAGGTAGGGTTGCCAGGGATGATCTTGGGTTGCCAGGGATGAGGTTGGGTTGCCAGGGATGATCTTGGGTTGCCAGGCATGAGGTTGGTTTGCCAGGGATGATCTTGGGTTGCCAGGGATTAGGTTGGGTTGCCAGGGATTAGGTTGAGTTGCCAGGGATGAGGTTGAGTTGCCAGGGATGATCTTGGGTTGCCAGGAATGAGGGTGGGTTGCCAGGGATGAGGTTGAGTTGCCAGGGATGGTCTTGGGTTGTGAGGGATGATCTTGGGTTGCCAGGGATGAGGTTGGGTTGCCAGGGATGAGGTTGGGTTGCCAGGGATGAGGTTGGGTTGTAGGGATGATCTTGGGTTGCCAGGGATGAGGTTGGGTTTTCAGGGAGGAGGTTGGGTTGCCAGGGATGAGGTTGGGTTGCCAGGGATGAGGTTGGGTTGCCAGGGATGATTTTGGGTTGCCAGGGATGAGGATGGGTTGCCAGGGATGATCTTGGGTTGCCAGGCATGAGGTTGGGTTGCCAGGGATGATCTTGGGTTGCCAGGGACGAGGTTGGGTTGCCAGGGATTAGGTTGAGTTGCCAGGGATGATCTTGGGTTGCCAGGAATGAGGTTGGGTTTTCAGGGAGGAGGTTGGGTTGCCAGTGATGAGGTTGGGTTGCCAGGGATGAGGATGGGTTGCCAGTGATGAGGTTGGGTTGCCAGGGATGAGGATGGGTTGCCAGTGATGAGGTTGGGTTGCCAGGGATGATCTTGGGTTGCCAGGGATGAGGTTGTGTTTGGACCAAACCTTGAAGGTGGCTGTCACTGCTGGGTAGACATGTGCGGTTTGTTTCGGTCTGAATCAAAATTTGGACAAACGTTTTCGTTAATCAGAGATTCAGATGTATCCGCGTTTCTAAATTACAATAGTAAGGAAATTTAAATGAATCCAAACTAAGTTAAATTTCATCCAAAATAATGAATTATGCAAATTCGAATCAAATTTGAAAATGAAATCGAATTCGGGAACAAATTTGAAATGTAAACATATTGCTGACTGTTGCTGATTTCTTTCAAAGACTGTGTGTATTAGTGTTAGAATACAGCCATCTTCTGATATTTGAATTTTGAAAAGATTAGAATAAAGCACGATAGAATAGAATAGAATAGAATAGAATAGAAAGAATTATAATAAAACAGAATGGAACAGAATAGAAAAGAGCAGAAATGAAAAAATAGAAATAGAATTAAATAAAATAGAAAGAATATAACAATTTTGTGAAATGTAAATTTTGAAAAAAAAATAGAATAAAACAAAATAGAATAGAAAATAATAGAATAGAAAATTAAAGAATAGAATAACATAGAAAGAACATAGCCATCTTCCGAATTTTGAAAAGAATAGAATAAAACAGAATAGAAAATAAAATAATAGAATAGAAAATGAAGAAATAGAATACAACAGAATGGAATAAAATAGAAAAGATCAGAATGGAAAAATATATAACAGAAAAAAGAAAGAATTTAGCCATTTTCTGAGAAAAAAATAGAATAGACCAAAACAATAGAATAGAAAAAGAGTAGAGTAAAACAGAATAGAATAGAAAATAAAGGAATAGATTTGAAAAGAATAGAATAGAAAATAAAAGTATAGAATAGTATAACATAGAATATAGCCATCTTCCGTATTTTGAAAAGAATAGAATAGAAAATAAAAAAATACAATACAAAATAAATAAATATAATAAAACAGAATGTAATAGAATAGAAAAGAACAGAATGGCAAAAAATAGAATAGAATAAAATAAAAAGAATATAGTGGTTTTCTGAAATTCAAATTTCAAAAAGAATAAAATAGAATAAAACAGAACAGAATAGAAAAATAGTAGAGTAAAACAAAATAGAATAGAAAATAAAGGAATAGAATTGAAAAGAATAGAATAGAAAATAAAAGAATAGAATAGAATAGAACATATAATATAACCATAATCTGAAATTCAAATTTTGAAAAAAATTGAATAGAATAAACTAGAATATAAAATAAAGAAATAAAATAAAACAGAATGGAATAGAATAGAAAAGAACAGAATGGAAAAAAAAATAGAATAGAATAAAATAAAAAGAACATAGCGGTTTTCTGATATTCAAATTTCGAAAAGAATAAAATAGAATAAAACAGAACAGAATAGAAAATAACAGAATGTAAAAAAATAGAATAGAATAAAATAAAAAGAATATAGCTGCTTTCGGATATTCAGATTTCAAAAAGAATAAAATAGAATAAAACAGAACAGAAAATAAAGGAATAGAATTGAAAAGAATAGAATAGAAACTAAAGAATAGAATAAAACAAGATTATAGCCATCTTCTGAAATTCAAATTTTGAATAGAAAAGAACTAGCCATTCTTCACAAAGAATTTGGATCGATTTAACATTTTCGATTCAGATCTATTGGAAAAATTTGAATCCCGTCAAAAACGAATAAAACTAAACAAAACAAATTTAGTTACGAATGCAATAAAAACGAGATTGGCAGCTTATCGAATGGATCAGAAATGAAACAAAACACATTTTTATTTGTTGTGCACGTGCCTACTGCTGGGCCAATCAGATGAGAGCAGGGAATTGTATGGACACAAAGGGGCGGTGACGCTTGTGTCCTTACTGACCTAATATGGTCACGTGTCCATATAAGACCAATGATAGTGACCTATCATTGGTCAGAAGCATTCCCATGTCTTTGTGTAGATCCCCACCTATAGCTCATTGGCTCAGCACTGACAGCGTCCTTCCAGGTTCAACCAAACCCAAACCAAACCCATCCTTACTTGCCGGCATCATACTTCCTGCCCTAGAGTGACAACGCTTACTGTAATGTATCTATGGAGGAGTGTCGTTGTCACCCTAGGACAGAACTACAGAACACCCCCCTCTCCTGTTCTCTAAAAAATGGGAAAGGGGTTCTGCCTTCTATGAAGATAGTTGGGAACAATGCTGACTGGTAGGAGTTGCAGCAGAGGCCGAGAGGCCAAGGGGCTTTCTCAGTCCCGTTCAGGGAACGTACCCCAGACCTGCCCAACAATACGACAGGAGATGGACATGTAGGAGCCGATGGTCACATTTACATGGACTTCTTCTGATGATGTTTCGTAGCTCCTCCAAGCTACACTTCTAATGGGTATCTAGCTGTCCATCCATCCGTCCGTCCATCCGTCCGTCCGTCCATTCGTCCATCCGTTCGTCCGTCCATCCATCCGTCCATCCGTCCGTCCATCCACCCGTCCGTCCGTCCATCCATCCGTCCGTCCATCCGTCCGTCCGTCCATCCGTCCGTCCATCCGTCCGTCCCTCCGTCCGTCCATCCGCCGTCCATCCCTCCGTCCATCCGTCCGTCCATCCGTCTGTCCATCCGTCCATCCGTCCGTCCATCCGTCCGTCCATCTGTCCGTCCATCCGTCCGTCCATCCGTCCGTCCATCCATCTGTCCGTCCGTCCCTCCCTCCGTCCCTCTGTCCGTCCCTCTGTCCATCCGTCCTTCCGTCCGTCCATCCGTCCGTCCCTCTGTCCGTCCCTCTGTCCATCCGTCCTTCCGTCCATCCATCCATCTATTTATCTATTTGTCCGTCCATCTATCTATTTATCTTTTGATATCCCTTTTATATCACCTCCCCCATCCTGTAGATTGTCAGTAGAGATGAGCAAATCGAACCAGGCGAACCGGAATTCGAGTCTTCTTCATCCTCATCCTCATAAGAAGAAGAAGAAGAAGTAGGATGAAAATAAGAATAATTCCAAGCCGGCAAAAAGTGTATCTGCAGCGCTCCTCTAAGTGTATCTGCAGAATGTCATTTATGGAAAAGAATAGATACAATGTTTCAACCGCTGTATGGAGGGAATGTCATAGAACTGTCAGAAATAGACTATTTATGACAGTTCTGGGACTGTCCTTCCATACAGCGGTTGAAACATTGTATCTATTTGTTTCCATAAATGACATTCTGCAGATACACTTAGAGGAGCGCTGCAGATACACTTTTTGCCTACTTCTTCTTCTTCTTCATCCTCATCCTCTTCTTCTTCTTATAAGGATGAGGATGAAGAAGAAG